CCCCAAAACCCCAAAACCCCAAAACCCCATAAGCAAGGATATGAGGCAAAAATTAGATCTTTAGAAGATTACTTAAAGATTATTAAAACGATTTTTCGATCTTTTAAATAATTTATAATTAATTCCATAACATCAATTAATCTACTCAATGTATCAAACAAGAGAAAAGTATTCTTACGTACCTCAAAGGAACAAGGCGTCAATCTTGTCGAGCGGAGGGATATCAGAGACATACGACATTAATGGAAACAATATGTACGATGAAATGTCGAACCAATCAGCTGATGATCTTTACAGACCCTATGATTTCAGTGGGACTCAAGGCGAGAACGGGATCTACCAAGAAGTCGGAAACCCCTTGGAGTACGAGTTCAACCCAAAGCACTTCTACTGGCTCTTCAATCCTTAGATTAAGTTCAATAAGCGCAAGACCTTTTGCGTCGAAGATGACCTGAACCCCAAGGATTTCATGATGATGAGACAGCTGAACCGCAAGAGTCTAACTGCTTTTCTAATAAAGGCCTAAACAGAAAAGACTCTCCTTCTCAATCAAAGCCCTGAAAACGGTGGTCAGATGGGATCGAACTGCAAGAGCAATCTTTAAAACGAGACTGACGAGTATATGTCTACTGATGATCACGGAACAGTTAACTCGCCCCCAGTCAGACAGATCATTATTACTGATGAGGATGCGACAATTGAGGATGTGGCGAGTGGGTGCAATCTAAATGAGGTTTGGGAAGACGAGAGAATTGACTAAGAAGCCAAACTCCTACTGAAAGAGCGAAGACTGGGCTAGATTATCCCAAGTGACGCAGTAGCTCACCTTGAGTTCTTTTATAATACTCTACTTATGAGTTACAACACGGAGAATCCCTTCAAAAATCCAGAGGAGTTCCCAGCTCTGCTGTACTCTAACCAGAGTGAGACTCCAGACAATTTATTCGAGATTCACAGGAGGATAATAACTCCAGGCGAGCCTACTCCAGACTCAAACATGGACGATGAACTCAAAAGTGTATCCTCACTTGGCAAGAGATATGACTGGTACCCCAACAGACTGATTGAGTCTCCACTGAGCACCTACACTCAAAGCCCCAGTCCTAAAAAGTTCAACATTCAAGACCGAAGATCATCGTAGCAATTTTCCCTGTAGATTAAGTCATTTGACATCCCATCACACAATCCTTCCCCAGTCAAAGCTATGAGAGGGTCTTAGGGCTAGGGAATCAGAAGATTCACTTAAGCAGTGCTTAACCCGATTCATGAGAGATTCATAGAGCAAGATGAAAATTGAACTCAGTCTAAATTATGAAGTCTGCGGGCGACTCACTCAGTATATAATTACTCCTCCATCTTGAACTAACTGCAAGAGCTTGGAAGAGATATAATCATTTCTAATATTTTAATTTTTATGATAATAGTTATATTTCATTAATAATGTCTTAACTTTAAGAATTGCATTAAGGGGAAAAGATGAAATAGGAATTTGTTATTTAAATAAAGGCGATTCTGGTACCACTAGATCACCCTATACATTTCCTCATTACAGAATGAGAAGATTGCTTCAAAGGTCTAGATCTTTGAGGTGGTGGAATGCCTATTTGTATGTGATCATGCATTTATAAGAGCACTCCATTTCGTTTAGGAAAACCACGTCGATGTCAGTTCTGGCACATTGCTAGAAGCAAGCTGGAACTACCATTCTATTGAACAAGTCTTGGTTGAGACTGATATCCTTGTAATCGTTCTATGAGGTTGCATTGATGAAGTTTCCCCAGAGACCTGAGTTTTATTAATGGCTCATTTTGTTTATTATATATTTATATTATATTAATTTATTTACTTTTAATATAAGTGTAGCAAAATTAAAAATGCATTCAGAGGCCTCTTTAAAATTCCTGAAAAAGCAAAAGCAGCAGTACCCGATGTTCACTGTTATGAAGCCCCGCGAATTCAATTTGCAGTTCATGAAGGAAGCAAACTAAAACCTAGAGATCAATCAGATGCACCACACAATCAACGGCCCTACTTTTAATGGAACTCCTCTGGGAGGTAAAAGTACCAAATTCAATAAAAATAGTCTGCAAGTCGTAGGCAGCTCAACTATGTAGAATTTTAAAATTGGCAATAGGTACTCGCCCTCAAAGTACAACACTGGGTATGCATTTCCAGGCACGATGAGTACTGTGCCACCAGCTAGGCAGATACCATCGTATGAAAAGATTAGCAATTCTACCACATCGTATCTGCTGAGGCACTAGGGGGAGAACTAAAGTTAAACTTCGTTCATTATATCCTATAAATAGCATCTGAAGTTGCCTTAACAGGCTCTAGAAACCGAAGACACTGATCAATTTAACTATCTGAACGAGAAGTTAATGAATTAGATAAAGTAAAGATCTTAGAGTCAGATTGAAAATGATCAGGCTTCATACAGTATGTAAAACTAGTACTCCTAGTTATTAAACTAGAAAAATTAATATAAGTTGCATCAAAAGGTGTTATCGCCATAGCACACACATACTAATTCCAAAGTTCACTTGCCAAACATAATGAACTACAACAGTGGAGTGGACCAGATAAATATTAATGGAATAGGGCAGAATTTCAACACAGTGAGGCATCTAAATAACAACAATCATCATTTAGCAACAAATCATTTTATCTAGACCAAATAAATAAAAAAGATATAGCCATCAGGTATGAAATAAAAGCAGCCCTCGAATGGCCGGATCCCAGTCAAAACAATGTACATTTCACCTCAGATGCGATCAATGATGAGAAACATTAGTCCAAGTGTTTTGGCAAATTCGACTGAGTCATTTTTCAATGAGACTTAGGACTCTAAATAAGACATTACAAAGGGTCCAAGAGTGAAGCCTTCATAACCAAAAGATGACAATCAGAATATAACTGAAACTCAGAGGAAGTAAATAGTGCAACAACTGATACTTAAGCAATACTCCAATGAGAACGATGATAATGAATAGGGAACAGATGAATATGAGACACCCTAGGTAGAAAGAAATTCAGTAGTCGATCATACTCAAAAAGGTTCATACGATATGGAATAAATGCTCTTTAAAAATGATAAGTTGAGTTTCTAACAGCCTATCAGCAAGTATTAAACTTCCGAGAACTTCTTTAAAAGTGTCAGTCCCTAAAGAGAGGTAAATGAAGAGATTATTGATAAGAATAATGTTAAGAAAGGCACCTCAATACTAAGCAATCTCTACAGAATTGATGATCGAGGTAAGTTGAAACGTTTTAAGTATTAACTAATTTATAGCTATTAAGTTTAAGCAGGCTAAGAATGAGTTGTTGAAAATTACAAATACATACTTGTCGAGGCATTTTACAAAGCAGACTAATTCTAGAGACATGATAAGAACAATCGAAGAAAATGATTGGAAGTTCAAAAAGAGAGCTAAGAAGTTAGGCCTAGAGATTGACTCAGATCACTCTGAGGAAAAGTATGTCTATCAAGGCCAGTGAAAATTAGAGATAAACCGTACTATGCGACTGAAGAATTAATAAACAAAGATGAGTAAAATTATTGACTAAAAGTTTTGAAGTTAAGTAAATAATCTTTAAGCATAGTTTTAATATAATTAACGTCGGATTATAATCCATTTAAGTTCAGATCCTATACATTTTGCCCAAATTATCATCATACCGATAGGAATTTCTTCTCTCTTTGTGATTGAAAAAAGCTAAAATAGGTGCGGATAAGAGCAAAAGTCCAAATGCTAATACACAAATTCCTCCAATTAACAGAGACAATGATGATGCTTCGTATTTGATTTCGTCAGTTGTATAGAGCTTATAGATGGGATCTTGATTCGATCTAACGAGAAACGACACTTTGGTCTTAAATTGATTCACTCCTGGGTCTGAACCAGGTTCTCTCCAATCCATAGCCATATAATTAATGTAAGAAGGATATCTACCATCGCACATGAAATTCTAATACCCATCTACAGGTTATTACAAATTTTAGTCTTAATCCATAATCAAGCACAAAGACTAGATTTGTGAAAACCCATAGCATTTCTATTCCTGACTATTCCATTAACCCATATGATTTATATTGCAGTCCTTCATCATCCTCAAAGTCTTGTATTTTCTCATCAATACTATATCTTAAATATGCACACTTGACGCAGTGTCGTTATTTTAATTAATAATGTTCAGCTAAAATGAAGCAGTTAGATTGTATTCATTTTCGTTTAAAGGGTTTTTAACTTTCTGAAGGCTCGTTAGCCCCATTAAAAACTATCTAATGTCAGTATTTAGGAAGTATGCAGGCAAATATTGCAATGTTTCCTCCTTGAAATCGTAAGGCATGTCATTTTTAATGTTTAAAGGAAGATACACTTTAGTTTCTTGTTGATTTAAAGTCATTGTGAGTGAGGAGAAGTAATCATGTGAATTATTGTTCCATTCATTGACGAATTTGTTCATAATAGCTGACTCATTTGAGTGTGGGTTTTACTTAGCTGTTACAAGCAAACCAATCCCAGTAAAGATTAGGAATATAGCTACTACAAACATCGCCCACAGTAAAGTCTTAAAGACTAAAGCTCTAAGAGTTGCACATCTACAAGCCTTTTATATATATTCCTTCCGATCTGCATAAGCTCTAATTCGTTAACAAACCGATTTCTGTGCCATTTTAAATTATCAAAATTCATTTTCTTAAGCAAATTCTCAACTAATGGGGTTTTGGGGTTTTGGGGTTTTGGGG